AAAAGTTTTTTTGGGGGGGGGGGGGGGAATCAATAGCGCTAAACGCTAACAACACTATCAATTTTATTTTTATGGAATAATTTGTTAGTGTGTAATAATATTTGTTAGGGCTACTGAAGTCTAAATGATAGTTGTAAATGTCAATATATCCATCTACTGTTATTCTACATAATGACTTTTTGTTGTGTATAATATTTTAACCAGTGGATGTAGAATGGTTTTCAGAAGGATCAAGTTTTGATTCAGATTTTCAGGCGAATTTTCTTTGGCGTCCCTTACGGTCGCCGCTTAAAATATGCTGTGTTTGTGATTTATATTTATATGATTAAGTATTTATGTTCTGTACTTCAATGGTCCGTCCTTCAATGTGATCAAAAACGCACGAGCAGCCTTTGCCTCATCACATGAACGGTTTCTGATTTCTGTCCGCGAGCGTCTATTTACCGTCATGTGAAAACAGAAATTCTGTCTAGGCTAATCTATTTTTTGACCGTTACTGAAACATACAAGCCTTTTAATAACTGCCTACTTATATAAAAAGAATATGACTAAGTTTTATTATCAACATTCTCCACCAGAGGTCACACAAACATAACCTAATAGGCTACACGGTAATCAATAGGCAGTTTAAATATGAACCATTTATGCCTTTCAGTCTTAAATAATAGGCTAAGTGTTTGGAAATAGATAGCTTATATCACGACGAAATGTGTTCTTTTACTTTTCTGGTGCTTCTGCTTTTTAAAGAACTGAAATACACACTATAACACGCATTCTCTGAAAGTCTCTGTGAAGTCCTACAAATAAATATTTAGGATTAAATGTATGCAGAATTAGATGTAAAATGGGGCTTTTAAAATGTTTGAAGGGATAATTAATATTTCTTATATAATATTTTAATATGATGTAAGAGTAGGCTATAAGAGTTTTAGAGGAGTGTAAGTTGGCCTCTCTCTGTGAGATCCGTGAGATGCTACTGGACTCGCGGCTTTGTGCAGATTCTTTACCGTCTCCACGACAACCACAACCTGACGCAACTTACGCCCCGCCTCCATTCAAGCCTCTCATCTCATTCAAGAAACAAGTGTGGAGTAAGAGCAGTGTTATTGTGCTCTCCTCTAGAGCAGGACGCGAGGAATACAAGTGCCCGACAAACTACTATGAAGGTAAGAATAATCTTTTCCTTAATACTATCTGCATAAAGAGAGCGTCCAGACTCCCTAAACCACATATAAACAAGATAAAATATTCAAATATTCTTTAAGAGTCACTATTGAGCTGGCTAATAGGCTACTTTGCCTGACCTGAGTGCAGTAAGTTTTTTTTAGATGACTTTCAACAGCCTAAATGACTTTAATTGATTTTCTACGCAGGGTGTATCTGCTTCATGATGTTTTATTCTAATAGGTTGATTGAGCTGGTGTAGCCTATTTTAAAGTAACAACTTTCATTAAGTTATTATTGTCTTTAAAAAAGGAAAGTAAACAAATTTCATGTTCATGAATTGTCTAGAGTTATTCATGTTTTCATTTGGTCTGTATTTACCAGGGCTCAGTTAATCATTGTGACGTGTAATAAATAAACTATTTGGTAATAATCAAAGTAATGTTGTTACATGTTGTAACAGCTTCAACAGAAAGTTATTAGACATCAAGGCAATATTTATGACCATGATTGTGAAGTGAGACTCTGGCTAGTTCATTTTCACTCCAAATCGGAGAATCATTTTATGCTGAGAAGCCAAGATTTGCTCATATATGACAGTAAGGTTCACCGCATCTAATTAGGCGTATAAATGCAGTCATGCCTAGTGTTCCAAACTGTCTGTTTGGCCTGAAGAACATTTAATAGGCCTAGGTCTGGAAAAAGGAACAATTTTCCCTTGAGATCTGCATTCTAAACATAATACTTTAGAGAGTGTGGAAAGATAGGCTACAGCACTCAAAACCAATATTATTCATGAAAAGGGAATAAAAAAGTTTGAAAATTTCCAGGTTATTATATTATATTATTATATTATAGGTTGCAGTTTATTTTACAGTAGGCCTATGTCTCCTTACATATACTTATAGAGTACTTACCTGAGAAAGTACTGGGTAATATATGGTAACACCACACGAGTTAAGGTTAGGTTTATGGGTAGGTTCAGGGGTCAGTACCTAGTTATTAACCAGTTATTGTAATTACTAAATAGTATGTATACATACAGAACAGGACTGTAAAATAAAGTGCTAAGTTTTATTAAATCAAGTAAGTGCAAAACCTGCAAATCTTGTTTAGTCTTGATATATTCGTGCTACAGGCATTTATATATTACATATACATATTACATATAATATACAGTATTTTCATTCTCTTTGTAGAGTCTCAAGCCTTATTTCACCATGAATTATCATTATCATTAGTTTGCCACAAATGTTAAAGTCTTGGTATGTAGTCAGTAAGTATTTTGAGAAGCACATTTTTTCAGACTAAAGTGAGAGTGGTCTGGGATGAATGGATCCCCCTGTGAGATGAGTCACGTTAGTGCTGCCACACACAGTGCGGGAGGTGGAGCAAAGCGCTAAATGAGCTGAGACTTCAGGAGTGTGATTAGTCCCGCAGCCGTGTGGAGGTTAATGTGAGGCCAATTAACAACCAGCACAGTCCTCTTATGGGAAGAACGCATTCCTAGAGCAGCTGCGATGATGAAAGACGTCAAGGCAATGCGCCAAACACTATATCACAAGTAGGCCTACATTGGACAGACAGCTTTGCGGGAAAGCATTAAAAATGTGGATGGTCCTGAGACTAATTAGATTATGAGCACAATGCTGATGCATTGCTGTGTAACAGAACTATATGTGATTGTGTTCTCAGCAGTAGTTTTGCTTGTCTGTATTAGAGTAATGAGAGACTGTAATTGAGCAGCATTATGTTCTTTGGTGATTGTCACAGGTCTGGCTGCTCTAGTGAGGAGTGACATTTAGTTCTTTAGAGCAGACAGTCTTCAGTGCTGCTGACTCATTGGCTGGGCTTAGTTGCTATGGCAACCGCCAGCTTTCTAAGATCCACAGTGAGATATGAGGCATGGATGGAAAGCGTCCATGTGATCAGTAAACTTCCCATTTTAACCATGATTTACTTCAGAGAAATAGCTTCTGGTTTTACAAATTAAAACCAAATAATCTGTCAAATACAGCATTTTCTTGTAAAACACTCCAATAGGCTAATCGTTTATTAACTTTGAAAAAATCATTTTGTATTTAATGTTATTTAAATAATCTTATATTCAAAATATATTATTTGAATCAGCGTAAATATGTCAATTGTGAAAACAATTAAACTGAAACACTTAAAAAGTATATGAGCAATTAGTTTATTTAGGTAAAATGTTTGATTAAACAGTTAAAAGAATAATTATAAATAGTTATTATTAAAAAATAATAAATATAATGCATTTATACATTTATTTATATAAATAAATAAATAAATACATAGGTAGATTAGATTATAAAATATAAAAACCTGGTTATTGTGTATCTTTTATAGTTTATTGGTACTATGACGAAATACATGTGACAAATACTGTATGCATCACATTAAGTGTACTTGTTTATGTTAATACTGTCGACTTGATGTATGGAAATTTTATATGCTATTAAAATACATAAATCTTTAATATTAGGCCTAAACTTTTAAATGATGAAAAGGTAACCAAGTTCGTTTCAATTAAAGGAAAGAATCAAGAAGCAAGATGTGTTAAGAGTGCTACGCTAGGGGGACGATACTGCTGGAAAAATGGAAGCTCAATATCTGCGTTGTTGATTTATTTTACAGCCCCACAGACACGCCATCCTGGTTACTGCAAGCAAATCCAAAGGTCTACTGTATCTTTACTGATCCAACAAGGCAATGAGATCATCTGACCACTTAAATTGATTTTCACTGTTTATTTTTGGCAACTCTAACGACTTCCTCAAAAGGCCATGGATGCCAGCTCAATACCTCAGATTAATATAGAGGACTGTGATGGCCTTGAGGTCGCCCCAGATGATCATTTGAGAAACCTGAAAGCACTGACTGAGAAGCTCAGGCTTGAGACCAGAAGGCCGTCCTATCTTGAGTGGAAGGAACGAGTGGAAGCTCAAAGCTCCAAAGGCTTAGCCGTGTCAGAGGGCTCATCAGAGCTGGAGAAAGGTGCTGGACTGAAGCCTGACGTCACACCTCAGAATTCCCAAGTGACTGCAGGAAATGCCCTGATTTCTAGAAACCTTGGAGGATTTGATAATATCGATGAAGCTCTGGTTTGGCTTAGAAAAGAACTGGTAAGTCAAAACATTTCAAAATCTTCATTTGTTGACTGAAGTTATATGGAATTATTTCTGAATAATGCATGTCAGCATCTCTTAAAATATCAGAAAACTTGACCTTTTATGACAAGAACAGTTTTAGGTAAAATGTCATGTGGTGCAACTCCCAAAAAAGTATAATTAATATCATCTAAAAATATAATTAATAAGTTAAGATATTTGTATAAATAAAAAATACCTTAAATATAGATTTTACTTTTTTTTTTCTTTTTTTTTTCTATCAATAATGATTATGGACACTCATTCAAGGTGTATGGAATATACATGTATTTTTTTCTTGAAATTTTTTAATCAACAATTCATTTTAAATGGATTTTTGAAGCATTTTCAATTAAATTGTCTTTATCGACACTCGTATTTGTCATTATCATGTTCTCAAAAATGTGATTTTTCAAAATACTTGCTGCTATTTTGCAATCATCTTTCTGTAAGGGAAGAAAACGAACAGCATCCCCATTACGGTAG